TGTGTGTGTGTGTGTGTGTGTGTGTGTGTGTGTTTGCTACATCGACTCTGCTACACAGTAAATCACAGCTGGGCCACCAGCCCTGTCACGCAGTTATAAATAATTGGCCTTTTGTTCCATTTTTCCCCCATTTGTTTCCCTATTCTCCACCTCTCTCGCTGCGATCTCACTCATCAAGCCTTCCTTAGCCGCTTCCATTTTTACTTCCACTTCATTCATTTTCCTCTCCTCACATCTTCCCACTCTGCTTCCACTTCTTCCCACTTCATGTCCTACTGTTTCTTAGTTTCTATTTTATGCTTTGCAAATTTATCTTTTTTTTTCTGCAGACCCAATTTTTGTTGTTGCTTTGTTTGGCACTCTGCCTTTCTTCATTTTTTCCTCTCGATACCTACACAGTTAGGTCATAGTCGAGACCCTCTGTCCTACTTTTTTACACTGCTCCAGTTTTGGCTGTCCCACTGCGGCTAATGTGCATGTACAGTATCTGTGTGTGTGAGAGCTGATAAAGGGAGGATAATGACTACGACTGCTTATGTTTTTAGGGGGAAAAATGGTTTTGTGAAGAGGTCTACCTGACTCATGCTCCAGAACACTAGTCAAGTGGCTCTTGGACATTCTGAAAAGCAATGGCTGTGATGCTGTTGGAAACATCCACTTAAATATAACCAATAAACTCCAAAACCTCTTGTATCTTTTCAAAACAATTCCTTCTAACGTATTGTAATTTCCTGCAATAAGAATAAAACACATTGGGCTGATGTGTTTAGAAGAAAATGAAGCAGCTGGGAACATGTTAATGCTTTCTGTAAAGGGAAAACGCACCACTGGTGTGTTCAGATTTTGGCCTCTTAGGGGCAGCGCACTGAAGAAAAGACAGACTTTAAAAGTAGCTCAACATTCATTTAGGTAGCTGTAAAAGGGTTAGTTAACAACAATACTGTCATTACTTAGCTGATAACAAGAGGTTGTTAAATTAATATAAAATATATTTTCAGAAAACATCTAAATCTACAGGATTTGACTCAAAAAGAACAGTGAAAAGATGARGAAAAAGACATAAAAATAAAATCCTAAAGGATGTTTTAAGAAGACCGAGAAAAGGTTGCATGTAATT